TACGTACGTACGTAGTGTGTGTGTGTGTGTGTGTGTGTGTGTGTGTGTGTGTGTGTGTGTGTGTGTGTGTGTGTGTGTGTGTGTGTGTGTGTGTGTGTGTGTGTGTGTGTGTGTGTGTGTGTGTGTTTCGCAGGTTGCTAAATGTTTTGTGCGTGTGTGTTTATGTTGACAAGGAGGTTTAATAACTGTGTGCTACACAAAACGGGCAGTCGGTTTCATTTTCATCTCCGTTTGTAGTAGAGTTAGCAGGGTATTTTTATTTTAACTCGTCCCAAAATTATTTTTTATCCTCCCCGACACTAGTTTTTTCGGCCCCGGGACGACGGGACGTCCTTAAACTCGAGCCCTGATCTGGGGTTGTTATTGAAGCAGTAAATGTTTATCTGCTCTCGACTAATTACACATATGTTTTGAAAGTGAGGCATTAGCTTACCTTGCCAAACTGCCGGAGCAGCTGGATGAGGGAGCCTTTACCAAACGAGTTGGTGAGGCTGGCATGGAAAGCCAGAGTGGGGTACTCTTGGGATAACAGGGCCACCCACCGTTTCTGGTTTCAAATTGAGTGGAGAATAACAAAAACACATAAGAAAACAGACACAAATCACTCCCACTTAAACGGGAACCAAATATGAACATTTTGCACATTCCTTACCGTGACCCAGGTGGGGATGAGGTCACACTTGTTTAGAACGAAGATCAGATGTTTCCAGGATTTCTCTTTCTTCATGTAATTCTCTATGCTTTTAGAGCGTGTTCCCATGGGGTCTCTGGCATCCAGCACTTGGATGACGACATCGGAAGAGTCGATTACCTATATAAGTAAAAACAGAGAGGAATACAGAATGACCCTTCGGTATACACGCTCAACATTGACACAATTCAAAGAGCTGAGACGAGGATGGAAACAATACCTTATAGAGTTCTCCCCAGATCCTCTTGGACTGACCCTTTTTGAAGATTTCATCACGTGCCTCCGTCCTGTTGCAGAAATAAAGGGGAATTAAGCATTTCTAGCTTGTCACTATTTTCTAACATTTAATGAACAGAATTGTTCGTTGCATGCCATGTTATTCGTAGCATCTTCTGAGGCTCTTACCGGACCCCTGTGTCCTCGACCACCAGGTCTTTGTCCTTGTCCTCACTGTAGGTCTGGCCCGAGGACTCTGCCTTCTCCACGAGGTCCTTCATGTCCCCCACCATCAGACTGGGCCTCTTCCTCTGAGCCTTGGGCCCAAATGTGGTCTCAAAATTCTCCGTGTCTAGAATGTGCACCTTGGAGTTCTGCAGGTGTAGAAACAAAAACAAAGATTAGACTTATAGCGCCGGCTGTTTCTTTTAATCAAACAGTAAGCCTAGAGAGAGCCCCAGTTCAAATTGTTGTGTTAAAGATTAGGAAGAAGGATTTAAACGGTATTTTATTCATGGTTTTTCTTATCATTTGTTTCCCTTCACAATACAGCTACACTGTGCATATTTAGCCTAGAGTAGGATTACATTCAAATGAATAGTCAGATATGATGCCTTTGACATTACCAATATATAGTCTTACTTATATATTATAATGTCCCTTCCTGTGGTGGATAATATCTGTGGAGGTTTTGTGATTTGAGGGTTTGGGCAACCTGTGTTCTTCGACAGCATGAATGAAAAGCAAATGTGGCCACAAGTGACTTATGGATTGCAAAAGTGATATCTGAAACATACAGTAATGTTGTATGTAAACACATAAGCTAGAGGAACGGTAATAGCCTATGTTACAACCAATTTTTTTTTTACTCAGTCAAAGTTATGCAGTCGTTCCAGGGGATTCAAGCAGTATCAAAAAGCAAACTTAAGTAAACAGAACACCAAGGTATGCAACAACTAAGCCAAGGAAACAGCCGAGCATGTGCCAGGAGGGATTATGTGTTCCAATGATTTTGATCAGAAGTCACGGCTTGATTGCAACACATCCATGAGGGGTGAAAGGGGACCAATGGGTTCGTCAAAAACACTAGTGGTAAACGTTTAGGTTGGCCTCGCTATCAGCCCAGATCCATTACCGGTTATTTGAAAAACATTTCCCCAACCGACCCACAAACTCTGTTTTCGTGAATAAATTCTGGCCAATCAAATGTCGGACATCCATTATTTCACTTACCTAGTAGTGTTATATCAAAGTGTTAACGGAAAGAACACACCTGGGTGTAACTAATGATAAGACGGTGATTGCAATATGACATGTGCTATTATGGCTACTTGTCAATCAATCATTAGACATACATGCTAAAGAATCCCAGAGAAATAACTCAATTCCATGAGGAGCTAC